CTGGAGGGCGGGGGGGGGGGCGCCACCGACCCCCCTGCTGTTGTGGAACATTGCGGAGGCATTGCAGGACTGACAGTTACAGGCATGACTTCCAGGCGCAGAGGCACGTTGGGATTTGTAATTATAGCACAGCTGGAGGGCTGGAGTTGCCCACCCCTGCTGTAGAGCCTCATAAATAATTATTTCTAAAATGATAATTTAAAATAAAGAATTAAAACATTTAGTAAATAAAAAAACAAAAACAAACTACAAACCTAAAGTACTCATGGATGTAAAATCCTAATATTTCTCTTTTTTTTTAACTGACGACACAGCTGTATGGAAGCAGGAAATAATTTTTACTGCATGGTATATCTAGATATAGAACAAGTAAAACAAATAGTGAAGGATTCACACTGTTCAACCGATGATGTTTTATACAATTCTCCAGTATAAAATGATGCCACATAATGGAATTGAGGAAATAAGAAAAAATTATTGGTCTGGCTGGGGCCTTCTAGATGTGGGTAGGCTTTTTAAAACTTACTTCCCAGCGCTCACTCGTGCGCGCCATCCAGCGCGCGCATGAGTGGGAAAACTGGTCAAATTTCAAACAGGCAGAGATGGCTCTTTCAATACAAATGTTCTGGCAGCTGTAGAGCCGCCCGATTTTGCATGTGGGTGGGTCGGCCCCCCCCCGGTGCAGGCCCGGGACTGGCACAGCGGCTCTGTGTCAGGAGATCAGTACACAATCTCCCTCTGATCACCTCCCTGGTCTCCGAATGCAGGAAGTGATGTATATTACATCACTTCCGCATTCAGCTGTCATTCCTGGCTTCAGAAGCTGGTGAAGCAGATCTCAGCTTTATCAGCTTCTTTGGGGGTCCCTAGGTGACATCAGGGGTCTTAAAGACCTCTGATGTCTCCATCAAGAGGACCTGCCACTCTAAATTGGCTTGTTATTCCCCTATGTGATAGCAATAAAGTTAAGTGTAAAAGAAAAAAAATAATTATGTTAAAGTCCCCAGCCCCCACATACACAAACATGCATCGGGTGTGCCTACGTGCAAAAATGATGATTGCACCGCATATGTTACATGTCACCGCAGACATCAAAGTGAGAGCAATGATGTTAGGGCCATCAATCACTGTTAACACTAAACTGATGAGCGGTAAAAGCTTTTAGAGCGTCGCCTATGGTCAATTTTGGTTGTGGAAGATTTTTTGCGATTTTGCAAGGAAGGCCAACTTGTCGCTAAAGGACATTGTGGACCGCTAATGAGAAGTGTGCAGAAAGAAAGGAAAAGAACCACCAAAAGTATCTGTAGAAAGAAGAAGTGACTCCATCAATCCATATTGATAACTAGAACACTTCACATTCAAACTGTACGCATACAAATTATTGTCAGGCAAAGAAAATATAACAGTTTCATACTCTGGCATCCCTCGGTTTACATTGCAGTGAGTAAAACATAGTCCTGCACAAGCCTAAAAATGGTTGAGTTTTGGAATTCCAGCACAAAGGGGGGAGAAGCCCCTTGTTGGTATAGGAGGACTGTACTGATAAATAGGAACTTTCAATCACCTTTCTACTGTCTACATCAGCATGATCCACAGGCATTGTAGTTGTGTACTCAATAGTTCACAGCAAACCCAGTCATTCCATAGATACGTCTGATTCAGGGTACTCACGTGTCCGTACATAAACTAAAGCTACAGGAATTAAGACGGGTCATGGGTTGACTTATTAACAACTTGTCAGATCAGCACATGCCGCCTCTCTGCAGACAGTTGGGTTAAAGTAAATAAATTGAATCAGCTTTTTGCAATGAATATAAAGTCGTAAATGAAATAAATCACTTGTATGAGTCCTGAACTATCAGTAATCGAGTCACTTGTATGAGTCCTGAACTCTCAGTAATCGAGTCACTTGTATGAGTCCTGAACTATCAGTAATCGGGTCACTTGTATGAGTCCTGAACTATCAGTAATCGGGTCACTTGTATGAGTCCTGAACTATCAGTAATCGAGTCACTTGTATGAGTCCTGAACTATCAGTAATCGGGTCACTTGTATGAGTCCTGAAAGATCTGTAATCGAGTCACTTGTATGAGTCCTGAACTATCAATAATCGAGTCACTTGTAGGAGTCCTGAAAGATCTGTAATCGAGTCACTTGTCCTGAACTGTCTTATATGGTTAATCTATAAAAAGACTCAAACGGGTCGCCTCCTCATCAAAACTTGTTCAACCTACCTATCCCCCCCCTCCCTTTTTCTTCCTTTGCACCACCCTTATCCCCTACTACTATAACTTTAATTTGTGAACCCAACTTCCTCTCTTCTTAATTTTTTCTTTCCTCCTACCCCTATATTGTTCTGACGCACAAGATGGTATTAGGTACCTGGTGTTGAGACCGAAGGTATGAGGAGGCTCCACTTGCACCCCGTGTCTTGTGGCCTTTGAGATTGGGGACAAAGGCCAGTCGGACAATGAGTGGCACGAGGGCTTTTGGTAGATCAAGTAATCGATGTCAAAACAAGCCGGGGTCAATAGCCAGGAGATCCGATGCGGTACAATAAGGAGCAGGCAGAAGAATATCCAGAAAACAGTCCGAGGTCAATAAGGCAGGCAGCAAGCAAGGATAGTCGGCAAAACAGGAACGAGTCACAATCCAGAGAGATCAGGAGAATACAGGATCAGGCAAAACAGGATACACGGAACACACACAAACTGGAAAGACAAACCAGCAACTAGTGGGCGTTTGAGCTGGGTTTAAATAGGGCCGTGAATCTATCTATGAGGTCACTTCCTGTGCGCAACTTGGCGCGGATTTCCGCACGGCACTACCGACTGCGCATGCGCGTGTTTGTTCTCAACTGCGCATTCGCATGTTTGTTCTCAGCTGCGCCTGCGCGTGTTCGTTCTCAGCTGCGCATGCGCAGAGCGGGACTTTTGCCGACAGATGGTGAGACACCATTGGCTAAGCATTTACCCCAAGGCCACCATATGTGGTACGTCGCCACACAGAATGCCACAACGTCCTTCTCCCCACCTGAGGATCAGACATTTACAGGTTACCACTAGCTTCCTAGCTGCTCCACATCACTTTCATCCATTTTTGATGTTTTATGGAATTTTGACACGTTAGCCGAACACTTTTCAAGGCTTCCATGTCTTCCTCAACAAACCATACTGAATTCCATTACCCCATTGGTCTTATTGTGTTGTATGGTTTTGTGCTAATTGAGGTTGTTCCCTTATAGAGATATCTGGTGCTATGTACCTTGCTTCTCTACAAAAAATAAAATAAGTGATGGAGAAAATGAAAATGTTATGTTGCTGCCCACAGTAATCAAAATTGTGGAAGGTATACACAAGTCATACATGAACATTTCATGTCCATGTTGAATCAAAAATTCTCTGGCTGCCCAGCTTTATAACTTTTTATAGCTGATTGCATCATTATGTTCTGAAATAAAATTCTGATATAGATCATTATTAAGGAATTTAAAGCTCGAGACATCTTAATAAGAACATCAAGTAATAGAGCAACATAGTTGAAGTGACACGTTAAATCAAAATGGCCCAAAATGTTCACCCTGCAAAGGAGATATTTTAATATTCTCGTCTTCTTCTGCCCGCTCACCAATACTTGCTGTATTGCAGAGAAACCACCACTTGAATAACGTATGCCAACGCATCTAGAGTGAATGGGGCCTGAATCAGACACTTTTGCTTCCCGCACCACAGGTTGTGTTTGCTCGGGCCGATTATTTTTCAATAGTGTCTGAACGTTGCTTCTCTTGTCACTTGGAAAAAGTACTTTACCGTAGGGCAAAAGGGGCAACTGCCCGGGGCCCCGTAATTTACAAGGGCCCATAGCAGCTGTCTCTTTTGCCCCGGAGTGGCGGGCCAGAGAGCAGCAGTGGGCTGGGCTATGGGACTCAGGGGCGGACGTACCCGTGGCTAGGGGGGCATAGCACTTTAAATTAAATAGATTAAGCTGGCGTAAGGTCCCGTGCTTTCTGGGGACCTCACTGCTCTGGGGAACCACAGCGGCGCCTGTTTACAGTGCTGCCCACACATGTGCTCAGACTCTCCAAATCTGCCCCTGCTGAGACCCTCCTCCTGAAATATCAAGCAGAGTGGCAGCACAGAGTATGTAGCAAATTCATATACTATTCTGCATTGGGATTGGGGCACCATCAGCAAAATCTTGCCCAGGGCCTAAATAATGTTGAAGACAGTCCTGATTATCATGGCACAATAAAAATTAAAAAAAACAGTTAAGGGTAAAATTATTTAAATAAATAAATAAATATAGGACAGATTTACGTCACAGGTAATAAGTCAAACATTTTCCTCTTTTAACTGTAATAAAAAATTATAACAGTTTATACAATGGTATTGCTACCATTGTATAGAGGAACGCCTTGTAATGAGGCACGTAGAACATCTAACAATCTGCCGCTCCCTGCTCTGCTACTAATGAGGCCACACAAGTGTGTATACAAGGCTGATGGATTTGGTTTATTTATTTTTTATTTAGTTAACGGAATCCTATGAACATCTAAATATACATTATAGACAACCAACTAATCACTATGCAGAAAGGGAATATTCTGAATGTTACCAGTTTCCTTTCGCACTCCATATTCTTAGGTGTCCAGACATCTCCGTTTTCTGTACCGTCATAGTTCATCTCATCATCTGTTGTTGACTACAGTAGGAAAAAATAAGAAAATGGGGGGGGGGGGGGAACCCCACACACTGTTTTTTCATTTTCACATTTAAAAACAACCTAAACCAAATCCAAATAGATTCAATTGGATCTGAGTTCTGAAAATGAGAACTTTGGATCGATTCGAATATCGAACAGATCAGAAATTGTAGAAAAAAAAACAAATCCGAATAAAAACAAAAAGTTCAGTTTAATATTTACTTTTTGACCACAGATACCCTTTAAAAGTAGTTGCTTCATTTACCTTACCCCCAGCTGGCTGCCATCTTCCCACCATGATTCAGGTTACGAGTTTCCTCACTTGCAATGCAGGACTGCTGGTCCTGCATTGTATGTGATGATGTCAGAGTATGGCTGGCAGATGAAGCTGTGAAGAGAAGCCGCTTCAGGGGACCGGTCTTACGAAGGGGATGCAGGACAGCTGGTCCTGCTTTGTATGTGATGATGTCAGTGTGGCCGACAGATGAAGCTGTGAAGAGAAGCCGCTTCAGGGGACCGGTCCTACGGAGGGGATGCAGGAGAGCTGGTCCTGCATTGTATGTGATGATGTCAGAGTATGGCCGACAGATGAAGCTGTGAAGAGAAGCCGCTTCAGGGGACCGGTCTTACGAAGGGGATGCAGGACAGCTGGTCCTGCTTTGTATGTGATGATGTCAGTGTGGCCGACAGATGAAGCTGTGAAGAGAAGCCGCTTCAGGGGACCGGTCCTACGGAGGGGATGCAGGAGAGCTGGTCCTGCATTGTATGTGATGATGTCAGAGTATGGCCGACAGATGAAGCTGTGAAGAGAAGCCGCTTCAGGGGACCGGTCTTACGAAGGGGATGCAGGACAGCTGGTCCTGCTTTGTATGTGATGATGTCAGTGTGGCCGACAGATGAAGCTGTGAAGAGAAGCCGCTTCAGGGGACCGGTCCTACGGAGGGGATGCAGGAGAGCTGGTCCTGCATTGTATGTGATGATGTCAGAGTATGGCCGACAGATGAAGCTGTGAAGAGAAGCCGCTTCAGGGGACCGGTCTTACGAAGGGGATGCAGGACAGCTGGTCCTGCTTTGTATGTGATGATGTCAGTGTGGCCGACAGATGAAGCTGTGAAGAGAAGCCGCTTCAGGGGACCGGTCCTACGGAGGGGATGCAGGAGAGCTGGTCCTGCATTGTATGTGATGATGTCAGAGTATGGCCGACAGATGAAGCTGTGAAGAGAAGCCGCTTCAGGGGACCGGTCTTACGAAGGGGATGCAGGACAGCTGGTCCTGCTTTGTATGTGATGATGTCAGTGTGGCCGACAGATGAAGCTGTGAAGAGAAGCCGCTTCAGGGGACCGGTCCTACGGAGGGGATGCAGGAGAGCTGGTCCTGCATTGTATGTGATGATGTCAGAGTATGGCCGACAGATGAAGCTGTGAAGAGAAGCCGCTTCAGGGGACCGGTCTTACGAAGGGGATGCAGGACAGCTGGTCCTGCTTTGTATGTGATGATGTCAGTGTGGCCGACAGATGAAGCTGTGAAGAGAAGCCGCTTCAGGGGACCGGTCCTACGGAGGGGATGCAGGAGAGCTGGTCCTGCATTGTATGTGATGATGTCAGAGTATGGCCGACAGATGAAGCTGTGAAGAGAAGCCGCTTCAGGGGACCGGTCTTACGAAGGGGATGCAGGACAGCTGGTCCTGCTTTGTATGTGATGATGTCAGTGTGGCCGACAGATGAAGCTGTGAAGAGAAGCCGCTTCAGGGGACCGGTCCTACGGAGGGGATGCAGGAGAGCTGGTCCTGCATTGTATGTGATGATGTCAGAGTATGGCCGACAGATGAAGCTGTGAAGAGAAGCCGCTTCAGGGGACCGGTCTTACGAAGGGGATGCAGGACAGCTGGTCCTGCTTTGTATGTGATGATGTCAGTGTGGCCGACAGATGAAGCTGTGAAGAGAAGCCGCTTCAGGGGACCGGTCCTACGGAGGGGATGCAGGAGAGCTGGTCCTGCATTGTATGTGATGATGTCAGAGTATGGCCGACAGATGAAGCTGTGAAGAGAAGCCGCTTCAGGGGACCGGTCTTACGAAGGGGATGCAGGACAGCTGGTCCTGCTTTGTATGTGATGATGTCAGTGTGGCCGACAGATGAAGCTGTGAAGAGAAGCCGCTTCAGGGGACCGGTCCTACGGAGGGGATGCAGGAGAGCTGGTCCTGCATTGTATGTGATGATGTCAGAGTATGGCCGACAGATGAAGCTGTGAAGAGAAGCCGCTTCAGGGGACCGGTCTTACGAAGGGGATGCAGGACAGCTGGTCCTGCTTTGTATGTGATGATGTCAGTGTGGCCGACAGATGAAGCTGTGAAGAGAAGCCGCTTCAGGGGACCGGTCCTACGGAGGGGATGCAGGAGAGCTGGTCCTGCATTGTATGTGATGATGTCAGAGTATGGCCGACAGATGAATATGAGTCCTGAACTATCAGTAATCGAGTCACTTGTATGAGTCCTGAACTATCAGTAATCGAGTCACTTGTATGAGTCCTGAACTATCAGTAATCGGGTCACTTGTATGAGTCCTGAACTATCAGTAATCGGGTCACTTGTATGAGTCCTGAACTATCAGTAATCGAGTCACTTGTATGAGTCCTGAACTATCAGTAATCGGGTCACTTGTATGAGTCCTGAAAGATCTGTAATCGAGTCACTTGTATGAGTCCTGAACTATCAATAATCGAGTCACTTGTATGAGTCCTGAAAGATCTGTAATCGAGTCACTTGTATGAGTCCTGAACTATCAATAATCGAGTCACTTGTAGGAGTCCTGAAAGATCTGTAATCGAGTCACTTGTCCTGAACTGTCTTATATGGTTAATCTATAAAAAGACTCAAACGGGTCGCCTCCTCATCAAAACTTGTTCAACCTACCTATCCCCCCCCTCCCTTTTTCTTCCTTTGCACCACCCTTATCCCCTACTACTATAACTTTAATTTGTGAACCCAACTTCCTCTCTTCTTAATTTTTTCTTTCCTCCTACCCCTATATTGTTCTGACGCACAAGATGGTATTAGGTACCTGGTGTTGAGACCGAAGGTATGAGGAGGCTCCACTTGCACCCCGTGTCTTGTGGCCTTTGAGATTGGGGACAAAGGCCAGTCGGACAATGAGTGGCACGAGGGCTTTTGGTAGATCCAGTAATCGATGTCAAAACAAGCCGGGGTCAATAGCCAGGAGATCCGATGCGGTACAATAAGGAGCAGGCAGAAGAATATCCAGAAAACAGTCCGAGGTCAATAAGGCAGGCAGCAAGCAAGGATAGTCGGCAAAACAGGAACGAGTCACAATCCAGAGAGATCAGGAGAATACAGGATCAGGCAAAACAGGATACACGGAACACACACAAACTGGAAAGACAAACCAGCAACTAGTGGGCGTTTGAGCTGGGTTTAAATAGGGCCGTGAATCTATCTATGAGGTCACTTCCTGTGCGCAACTTGGCGCGGATTTCCGCACGGCACTACCGACTGCGCATGCGCGTGTTTGTTCTCAACTGCGCATTCGCATGTTTGTTCTCAGCTGCGCCTGCGCGTGTTCGTTCTCAGCTGCGCATGCGCAGAGCGGGACTTTTGCCGACAGATGGTGAGACACCATTGGCTAAGCATTTACCCCAAGGCCACCATATGTGGTACGTCGCCACACAGAATGCCACAACGTCCTTCTCCCCACCTGAGGATCAGACATTTACAGGTTACCACTAGCTTCCTAGCTGCTCCACATCACTTTCATCCATTTTTGATGTTTTATGGAATTTTGACACGTTAGCCGAACACTTTTCAAGGCTTCCATGTCTTCCTCAACAAACCATACTGAATTCCATTACCCCATTGGTCTTATTGTGTTGTATGGTTTTGTGCTAATTGAGGTTGTTCCCTTATAGAGATATCTGGTGCTATGTACCTTGCTTCTCTACAAAAAATAAAATAAGTGATGGAGAAAATGAAAATGTTATGTTGCTGCCCACAGTAATCAAAATTGTGGAAGGTATACACAAGTCATACATGAACATTTCATGTCCATGTTGAATCAAAAATTCTCTGGCTGCCCAGCTTTATAACTTTTTATAGCTGATTGCATCATTATGTTCTGAAATAAAATTCTGATATAGATCATTATTAAGGAATTTAAAGCTCGAGACATCTTAATAAGAACATCAAGTAATAGAGCAACATAGTTGAAGTGACACGTTAAATCAAAATGGCCCAAAATGTTCACCCTGCAAAGGAGATATTTTAATATTCTCGTCTTCTTCTGCCCGCTCACCAATACTTGCTGTATTGCAGAGAAACCACCACTTGAATAACGTATGCCAACGCATCTAGAGTGAATGGGGCCTGAATCAGACACTTTTGCTTCCCGCACCACAGGTTGTGTTTGCTCGGGCCGATTATTTTTCAATAGTGTCTGAACGTTGCTTCTCTTGTCACTTGGAAAAAGTACTTTACCGTAGGGCAAAAGGGGCAACTGCCCGGGGCCCCGTAATTTACAAGGGCCCATAGCAGCTGTCTCTTTTGCCCCGGAGTGGCGGGCCAGAGAGCAGCAGTGGGCTGGGCTATGGGACTCAGGGGCGGACGTACCCGTGGCTAGGGGGGCATAGCACTTTAAATTAAATAGATTAAGCTGGCGTAAGGTCCCGTGCTTTCTGGGGACCTCACTGCTCTGGGGAACCACAGCGGCGCCTGTTTACAGTGCTGCCCACACATGTGCTCAGACTCTCCAAATCTGCCCCTGCTGAGACCCTCCTCCTGAAATATCAAGCAGAGTGGCAGCACAGAGTATGTAGCAAATTCATATACTATTCTGCATTGGGATTGGGGCACCATCAGCAAAATCTTGCCCAGGGCCTAAATAATGTTGAAGACAGTCCTGATTATCATGGCACAATAAAAATTAAAAAAAACAGTTAAGGGTAAAATTATTT